GCTTTGCCTGTTTGTGTGGCCCGCTTGCTGGCCTGCTGTGGACCCGTGCTAGTCCACAGACCGGGGGTTGGGGACCTCTAGTCTAAGCAATACAGGAATCTATAATTCCTTATTCTACTCATTTAACATCTGCATATCAAACTGATTTATTAATAACAAATATTTATACTAATTGAGTTTTTCTTAAATTTAAATGATATAAAAAGTTCTCAGTTGTTTCAAAATCTGGGAGTGCTATTGGTTCCAACAATGTTGGTAAATGTTGTCACTGTAAATATTGCTATTGGATTACATCGGGTAGATGATATTTGTCTCTTAACACAGCAAATTCATCATCATCTGTTTGATAAACTACAATCAATATCTCCATTTCCAGCCAATTTTTCCATATCATATTTTTCATATTTTCATATTTTTATATTATTAAAGTTGGGTTCTCCCTTAGTCCATTTAGCAGGGGGGGAAAGGGTTGAATTTTTATTAGACATTACTTTCCATAATTTTCTAACTGATGCAATTGTTTCCAGAAATACTAGAGTTTAATGTTTAGATCCTAATACTGTCCATCCAATTAATGATACTATATGTGTATACTCCAGTTGCCCAAATCTGAAAATTCACACTTATTATTGGCCTCCAAAATTTGATACTTGACAATAGATAAGCATGGTGATATGTTGCAGATTTAGAAACCTGAATCCCTCTCATTAATTGGTAATTGCATTTTCTGTAAAGGTAATCTCAGAATCAAAGTGAAAATTTTCTAAACAAAGAATTTAGTTTCTGAAAATATTTGTCAGATATATGTATATTATAATTATTCTCAAAATGTAAATTAATCTGGGAATAATATTTTGAAAGCATTCACCTTTCCTCAAATTTTAAGGTTTAATGACTGTCATTTTAAATGTGTTCCTAAATGTGGGATTATGTCCATTATAGTCAATATGATAATGATTAAGATATTGGCCCGGGAGTAGGGAAATCCAGATTCCAATGTATTCTCTACATATGTTTGGGACGTTCACACTCTTTCAAGCCCATTCTACCTCATAGAATTCTTGTCAAAGAGAAAAACAGGATGAAATACTATGTAAGGTCACCATGAACTCTTGTATAAAAAGTGATACATAAATCTAATAAATATACTGAGAAATACACTATTTTATACAGAGAATTTCATTTTTATTCTTTTGGATTATTGTATTCAGTCTTATTGCAGAAAATACAGTACCCTCCCCCAAAGCCCACCAAGCCAGATATGTGAAGTAGGCAAGGGCCATGTGCTGGCCACTTCCAGGCAATGGTGCATTTCTTCATTCCTCACAAAGGGTGACACCTCCCCAGCTGCGTTTCTTGCCTATTTTTCTCCCTCCCTCATCTCAAATATTTTCTCACCACTCTGTTGGAAGGAAGGAAGGAAGGAAGGAAGGAAGGAAGGAAGGAAGGAAGGAAGGAAGGAAGGAAGGAAGGAAGGAAGGAAGGAAGGAAGGAGAGGGAGGGCCTGAGGGAAGTCCTGCCTTAGTCCTGCCCTGCTGCCCTTTCACCATCCCCTTGTCCCCTCCTCCTGGCCTATCCTGGGGGTCTCCCATCCTATTGCTAAGGATGCTTTGGATACAAAGCCGGGTCTCCTCCCATGGAGAGGGAATGGGCCTCCCTCTGACTTTGCCCTCATACCCATCATGAGCAACCTGGCTAAGGAGAGCAAGCACAGCAGCAGCAGCCTTGAGGAGGAGGTAAGTGCAGCTGGGCACCCCTTTGGGGAAGTGGGGCTGGGCTTGGTGCTGCGGGTGCTTGAGGGCCAGGCTGGGCATTTAACCTCTGCTGCCCAGGGCTCCGGGAAGCCCGCGGCACCATCTAGGCCCCCCGCATGGCCTGAGAGGAACAGTGAGGCTCTTCCAGTGGACAATGCCTTGGCGCTTGCTCCGGTCTCACCCCCTACTGCCAGAGAACCTCAGATCTGTCCCACTCCTGCTCAGGCCCCCACAGGTACCCTTGATGCGAACAATGAAAAGCTGGCCATGCCCACCCAGTAAGCCACACTCACTCCAGCCATGCCCACCCAGTAGGCCGTGCCCACCCTGGCCACACCTACCCAGCCCCCCCGAGGACAACCACAATGCTGATGCGGCCCTCAGTGAAATTGAGTTTGACACCCCTGCTCTATAGCTAGAATCTGACTTAAACGATTGACTTTGCCATAGGATGAGGATCTTAGGCAATTGTATTTTCCCAAGCCCAATTTCTCCATTTTACTTTCATAGGACTTAACCATCTTTATACATTTATTGTCTGTCTTCATCTTTTTCTTGAGTAATTTTGGTGAAATACTATTAATTATCTAGTCAATCAATAATTTCTAAAATCTCCATTCAGGATAAGATCTTTCAAAAATCTCAGCACTGTATGATTCTTTGGTTCAGTTAGCTTGCTGCAACAAAGAATAGTAGAGTTTCCAAAATACGTTTTGGAAAATTTGGCCTTTTAGAATGAGAAAAACTTCACATCTCACTAAGCAATCAGACTTGGTTAAATAGGTCACAATTAACTAGGTTTATACAATTACATCTAGTCATTAATATTTACATCTAGTCATTAATATTTGTTTAGTTTTGGCTTTATGATTTATATATGAACCCAACCACTTAATCTACAAACTATTATTAAGCAAAATAGCAGTGCATCAATAAACTTGTTTCTAGGATCATATTTAACAAATTTGGGAGGACTACTGCTGGAAGGTATTTTAACATGCAAAATAAATAAGATGATGTCCAATAATGGGGACAATACTTTTTGTAATTTCCTGAATTTGGAGAATTTCTTACATTAACAGCATTACATGAATCTTCAAAGTTATCCTATAGCTTTGCTGTGTAGTCTGCCTCATAGTGGCATGAAATTTTGTCATTTCACACTTGTAATTGAGGGTAATTCGGGAAAAATCACAAAAAAGAAGCTATGCTGTTCAGGTTAAATTTTTACTGTATGATATGGAAATTTTGTCTGTCCTGCTTTATATGCCTCTGATAATATATTAAATCCATTGTGAAATAAGTCAGCAGTAAATACACTATTTTCACTTTTTGAAATTTCAGGAAGTTGGTTCCAAGCTTCCCCCACTCTATCTGCGAAGTAATACCTTCTAACATTACTTTTGAACTTCCCTCATGTCAGTTTGAGTTGTAACTGTGTTTTTGATTTTTGTTAAACATCTTCAAAAACCCAATGCCTAAAACTATTACTTTCTGCCATTAAAAGTGTAGGTTTTATATAATTAGCTTAATGCCATTACAGTCATGCCAACATGTTTTCACAGAAAAGGATAAACATGCTGGCATTTTAAATTTAATGACTTCTCAGATTTTCTATCATTCTAAGTTACTTTCAAGAGGCCGGTTCAATTCCCAAAGGCTCTGTCTACAGAGTCTACAATATTTGGCTCCAACATGCTCAGTTTATACTTTTTACCTTTTCTTTACAAATTGTTATGCACCTGGGTCCATTGTAAAAGCTAACCAAAAGCGTGTCCTGTTACCACTCCACAATGTGAACAGCAGTGAAGTCACGCCAGTTCAGTTCTGCAGACAAGTCAGGATTCTGGGATGGAAGAGATGAGCAGTTGTGGATGGCAAAGGAAATCCTCTTCCTCCAAGCAGCCTTTCAGGTGAGGTTCTGCAAAAGATGAGTCCCTCCACTGAGGCAATAAAAGCCAGCCTGTCTGGGTCCCAGCTTCAGCTGAGTGGAAAAGAGGGCCCATTTTCTTTCGTTGTTGAACTGTAGAACAAGGTAGCTATGGAGCCTAATCTGGCAGCCCACAGGGCTTGAAATGGGTGAAACACAACTGAAGATAACTTGGTCTCTGAGCATATACAGAATGCATCTGCTTCATGATAACTTGAGCCAGCTTCTAAGCATTAGAAGGAAGGCGCTCGCAGGCCTCAAGTTCTGCAGCTTCCTTTTCAGTCACGGTCCTTATTCTCCACCCTGCTTTCTTCACAGCCAGAAAGAAAAACTAGCAGTAATCGGTTAATAAACTCTTTCTGCTTTGATCTGTTGCAATTTGGGCATATCTTCCTCTGACGAAAGGGGGAAAAAAAAGAGTCCAATCTTAGTCTTTAACCACTAGACTACAATCCGCTTTTCAGGCCTTCAATTACATCATTTGATTCAGCGGGACGAATGCCTTTATGCCTTTAAGACGGAACTAGTTTCCAATTTCGGTTTGTTTACAACTCCCTCCACGTAGATCAGTCACCGTCATAGGTTAACATATCTAGATTTCTTTACACAACTAGTGGTGACCTTCCGCCAGCAAACAGCTTCCTACTTAACTCTCCAGTCTAAATCTTTTTTACCACTAGATGACATCATTGCTCTCCCTAAATTCTCGAATAGTTACTGAAATTTCTCGATCTTAAGTGAGTGACTCATTACAAAATCCTCTTAATCTTTAGAGTTATATTGGAACTACTTTTTGGGCACTACCATAATTATTTTGTCGAGGGGTAAATTACGAAGCTATTTTTTTTCAACGCTATTATGATAAAGTGCCTGAGGTGACATTCGTTTGAATAGGAGCTCTGGCAGGCCTCAGGAAGATCGGTTCAATACGCATTAAGATTTCAAGATTCTCATAAATTGTTGGTATATTCCAATTCCCACCTCCTACACCGCCTCCAACTATTTTCCTCTGATTGGTTCAGTTAATGTTGAAGGACTCCCATTTTAGCCATTGATGGTTTAGTTATTTAGGCAGCCTACCAGAGAGGGCTTCCTTGTTGTCCCAGCCTTCCTTGAATATTGATTGGCTAAACAACAGTCCCTTACCGCGATTCTGGGAAGGGTAGTCATTCTGTTAAAAGAGAACTGGGCAATCGATCGGAAGGAGAAACCACAAATCCCGAGATACCTTGGGACCAGGAAAATGAGAAGCGGCTGCGCACTGCGGTGAAGGGGCTGGTTCGTTTATATAAGGCGAGGAAACGCGCTCGGAGTAGCAGTTGAGAACTGGCGGCGCTTGAGTAAGGGAGGAAAGCGGTGGAAGGAGGGGTGGGGTTAACTGCAGGGAGGGAGAGATTCGAACTTTGGGTGTGCGTGGAGGAGTCATCCTTCTCTCATTTAGTTAACTCTTTCCTCTCCGAAGTGGAAACCATTTTTAACTCGTTCGGGACTGGAGAATTTTTAATAGCTGAAGCTTGGGATAGAAATATTTTTCAAGCGATTTTTGAGGTCCAAATTGTTGAGAAAAAAAGAAGAACTGTTACATACTCAGACTCTTGGCACTGGAACTGCCTTCAGCTTTTTCGTACCTGAACTGTTAACCCTTGATTGTGTGGATTTGGACATTTAACATTTATCACCTGCGCTGGAGTGAGAACCCTGCTGCTTAACTCTTCAGTGAGTGGCCTTTTGTCTCTCGTATCTTCATTTTTTAAATATAATTATTGTTACAAGGCGTTTTAAGGACATACTGGCTCTGTTGCGGTGGCTCCTTCTTTAGCTGGAACTTTTTTTTTGCTTTTAATCTTTTTATACTTTGAGATGTGCAACTTTTCTACTGTGTGAGAAACAGGAGAAGTAGAGACTACAGGAAAAAACCGGATACTTCCACACTTCCCAGAAGGTAATGAACATTTAAAGACTATTGATGACCAAGACACCTTGCCGGTCTTTCTTTTCCTGCAAAGTTTAATGTTTGTAACAGTCTAGAAATTTAAGAAAGAACAAGAAAGGCTTCCAGATTAATACTCCTGATAACTATTCTGCGATTAAGCAGTAAGAGTTCTGTAAAGGCTTGCAAGTTGGGCTGAAGTGTTAAAAGTATTTTTTTTCTCAGAACTTGTGAAGCTGGCATTCCCAACCCCATCGCAAGGCACTGTCGGCTAATTAAATTCTCCCTCCTTCAAGAGAGGAGGGAGTCAACCCCTCGGACTTAGTAGCCAACAATCTTTTTCGGACTGAGGAAATCGCTAAAAGCACCAGCTATGGCTGATGCTGCCCTCTCTGCCAATCTGAGGCAACAGCCTAATGGCAAAACAACTTTTTCCCCCTGCAGGGATGCAGGTGGAGGAGATAGTGGTGGAGGGGGACCTTTTGTTGGATCTCCACCCACTAACCAGGAACTGCTCCAAGGAAGAGAGATTGCCGATAGATGGCAATCAAGAGAGGTGGTTAAGCAGGATGGCAGGCCGGTCAGTACTGATGTTTCCTTCCCTGGTATAGATTTCACAGTTCCTGTGGTTGGAGGAAGCCAAAGTCTGGGTACCCCAGAGATTAATCAGATTGAGGACCAGACATTTGGGGTGGCTGCAGACATCCAAGATGCAGGAGATGAAGAACAGCCAGACCTACAGGAGCAGGGATACTGTGGGCCTGTTGACCAGAGTTGCAGATCCCAGTCTGGTGAAGAAGAGGAAAAACAGTTGGGCAAAAAGAAACATAGAAGGCGCCCTTCAAAGAAGAAGAAACATTGGAAGCCTTATTACAAACTCAGCTGGGAAGAGAAGAAGAAGTTTGATGAGAAGCAGAGTCAACGGGCTTCCAGGATGCGGGCAGAGATGTTTGCTAAAGGACAGCCTGTTGCACCATACAATACCACACAGTTTTTGATGGAGGATCATGATCAAGAAGAACCAGATTTGAAAACAAGCCTTTACCCCAAAAGATCTGCCACCAAGTCAGATGAAACCAGTGAGGAAGACTTTGTGGAAGAGGAGGATGGGGGTAGTGATGGGATGGGAGGGGATGGTACAGAATTCCTTCAGAAGGATTTTTCAGAGACATATGAGAGATATCATGTAGAGAGCCTACAGAATATGAGCAAACAGGAGTTGATCAAGGAATATTTGGAGTTGGAGAAGTGTCTTTCCAAAATGGAGGACGAGAACAATCGCCTACAGATGGAGAACAAGAAATTTACAGGGGACTCAACAGAGGACCCCAGGGTAAGTCAGTTAGTACAGGAACTGGACAGGTTGAGAGCTGAGAACCAGAAACTCTTGAAAGAAAAGGAACTTGGCAGAGAACAGGAGAACAATTTCTCTAAACTGGGAGAATGAAACTGAACATTTTCTGAGGACATAAGTGGAATTGGACAGAAACCATCCCAAGATGCTGTATTCATATTGTGGGGTGCACATGTGTGTGTGTGTGTGTGTGTGCGCGCGCGCGCACACACACACACACATAGAAACAGGACTTTTATGTGATTTAATCAGAATAAATTCACAATCTTACACTGTTTTTGAAGATAGTTCTAATATAGTGCGTGCTCTTTTTTTAATTATGTGTAATCAAGGGGTTTGGGATTTGTTTTTTAAAATAAGAACACAGAATATCCAGCATTCCTAGGGGGAAAAAATCTAAAAGTTCATCGGATTCATATGAAACAGAATTTGTGATCCTTATAAAGGAGAGACATTGGTGAAGAGGGACTGGGGCATGGGAAGGAACATGTAAAATAGTCACATTCTGGGGGGGAAAGGCTACCCAGATACATGAAAAGAATTTAAATAAATAAGGTCATGTCAGCATAATTATTCTGGTGTGATTTCTAGAAAAATAATTCAAAATATTTTCTTTTGGCAGAGAATATTGTGAATAATTTTTCCAGGCAACTCACTTTAAAGGAATATGAATTGGAAAGGATGGATTATTCTAAGCCATTGTGTGGTTGGTCTAATAGAAGACCAAAGAAAAACATCCACAGTCCAAATTTACTATATTTACTAGAGCATTCTTTATTTGTTATATGTTTTATAATTATGGGGTGGGTGGAGGGGGGTGAGCTGCCAAAGCAAGTTACTTTGTTTAACTACTCTGTTTGGCTCCACAATAAACCTGCATGGTAAGTCTCTGTTTCCATCTTTATACTTTAGAGTCAGAGGATGGGCAGGTGTGACCTGCCCAAGGCAGTAGAGGTGGAGCTTTCAAATCCTATTGCCTAACTGCTGTTTTCTGTCACTGAAAATGTTGAATAGAGATATTGCTTGCTTTTTATCCATAAATTATTTTGCTGCTTTAATAAGTAATTATAGATAACACTTGAGGAGAAGGAAATGGCAAATCACCTTTCTCTTTTTTAAAAATTCAGGCTTTAGTTTGGATAGGATAAGATGACTTTGCTGTGCTATTCAACTTTGTAATTTAGATCAACAGCCAAAAAAGCAGTTTTCCAGTGGCCATCCCAGTTAATAGCTTGCAATGCTTTTTCTTTGTGTTCATTTTGCTGGCCAAATTGATATAGCCATTTATCTTACCAAACATGTTTTGCCAGATATTCTGTCTTTATCTTAGTTTGGTAGCCTTAGCTCACTTTCTTCAACTATCTGGACAGTTCATCTATATAGGAAGCCTAATTCCCCCCCCCCCCAAGATCATGGTGATACAGATAAAAGAGGATCATGTGTACATGCAGACATTATGAAAGTTTCTGATATGATATTATGCATCAGGCAGCCTAGTGTAATCTGGTTATAGGAATCATAATCTTAAAAGAATCATTTTCTATTAGAACTGTCAGCTGAAACTGATGGGACTGAAATCTAAGCAATCGTAGGATCTGTCACAGTTATGATAGCTTCTTTCAATGCAACTCCCACTTGAAATTGAGAATTGCTTTCAAATAAACATGGATAAGTTCTTACTTGTGTAGCCTCTTTATCCAAGCTATCAACTGGACAGGTTTTTTTTAGTGTTAAATATTAAGGAAAGTGGGATCCTTTTGTGTTCCCAACACTATTCCATTAATTCTGCAAAAGCAAGTTATCGTTTTGATGAATTCAATCTACAAAAATATGGGAGGGAATTGAGTGAATACAGACTTCTGCCTTTACCACAAAACTTGTATTTCATTTTACTCTATTGTGGTGCACACATAGTCTTGGTATATATAATGCTGTTCAATTTCATAGTATATAGTATTTTATATTTTTCTTTCCTCCTAATAATTGCCCCTCCTTATTTTTTTAAAAAAGAAATGTCTTTAGTAGTACATTAGACAAGTTTGTTTAGATAATAATATGTAAATATTTTATGGCTTGTCTTATAAATCTCTGTCATCCTCTAAAAAATAGACAAGGTAAATTTTAAAGCCAATATAAAACAAAATTAGTGATCCTTAAGTGGTCAGCCTTAACCTGACCATTAAGATATGTAAGGAACAAAGCAAGTCTTCATTTTCTGTGGAATAGAAGGGCCAATACTGAGGGGCACTGTGACAGAAAAAAGGCCTCACTTCATGCCTACCAGTCTGATCTCTCTGGGAGAGAATCTAGAAAGGAGCTGTACCTGTAAATTATGGGCTAATATTCAAACCCCCTAACAATTAGAAATACTCAACGATTAAGACAACAGGCAGCATTCAGTTTAATTGTGAAAATGAGTTCATATGGCAAGGAGGCAGGCATGGACTTGTCTGGAGGGCATTCTAGATTTCTTAACCAAAATGCAGAGCTCTCTGCAGTGATTAGACAGACTCCATGTTTTAGAGTTGTATTGGCTACTAAAACCTTTCTGCATTAACAGATTAAAATGAGCTGCTGATTGGTCTGCTCTTTGATTCAACTGGAGTCCCAGAATTATATGATGGGCCATGGTTATTTCAGGTTGTAGATACATTTTAGTTCAAGACCTTATTTTCTGAAGCCATTTCAATCATTAGTTCTCCCCTTCTTCATTTGTCCCATGGATACTTTCCTTACCCTGCTACTTTCCACTGTTCACTTTTCCCTTTCATCAGCCAAGTTGGTTGAGGATTGTCTTAATTCCTCTCCCCCCCCCCCCACCTAGGGAAGATAAGACACAGTTGGGTGGTTGGTCTACTCCACAAGTGAAGCTTGAAAGAAAAAAACAGCCTTCTGAAGGCCAAAGTCTATAAATCAAACTTACTGCTCTGTAGTGGAGGCTGAGATATCTGAGGATTCATTCTTAGAAAATGGGAGGAGGTTGATTAAGACGGGGACTTGGCAGTTTTTGGAAGGGGCTTTCCAGCCACTGTCAGAAGATAGACTCATCCAGGTTTGGGGGAAATGAAAAAGCAGCTCTCTGCTTTGTTTGAGGGAGGATGTTTTTAGGAATGGGTGTAATGTCATCCAAACCCCTTCAGCTGCCAAACTGCAGGAAGGGTGAAACTTCCAACTGTGATACCAGAGAGAAGTCTTGAATTTTTAGTTTGTGCCTTCTAGAATAAAATGCTGCTTGTCTCTCTACTCCAAGGCAACAGATGATAGAGCTCTTCTGAAAGGAAGTGGTCTGGCTGATTACATACCTTATAGGTGGAAGCCAGGCAAAATAACTTGCTATTTCATTCAGAAATACCCAATCTGGGTTTGAAATCATAATCCATTTTTTTCTATATCCTTGATTTTCAATAATTTATAAAAGGTAGCATTTTTTTCTCAGCCCAACTTTTTCTGGTGTAAAATATATGAATAAATATGTTTCACAACTGCAGAAACTATAGAGTTGTATGTAACTCTTAACTCCTGCTTAGTTAAGAGTCAGTGTGGATCTGGCAATAGTTTTGTTGTTGCTGAATTTTTTTCCTTCTGGGGATTGGCAAAATTTTGTCCATAGCAAAACTTTTGTGCCTTTCAGCATGTAGGAATTCAAATATTAAATTTATGATTAAAAATCCTCACATACAAGGAGTCTAGACATTTTTCTTTCTAATCGCAGCAACAAATAGTCTGATAAAGTGTGTTTGTGTAGTTATCTGCAATCTTTTGGGATCTTTTTTTTTCTGACTAAGGTAAAAGGCATTTGACATAACATTTGAGTTCATTTAAAATTCTTCTATTTGCAAGTAAAATGTAAGAAGGAAGTTTTACTCAAATTTCTCAATGTTCTTCTCTTAAAGGAAATAGTGGTTTTTGACTAATAAACACTTGAATTACACCATAGCCACATCTTAAAACACAGTGAATGGTATCAGCATTTTATAAGTTACTCCAATACCAGCTCCCTGGAAGCTAAACAGGTTTAATAATAAATTCATGGGACAGTTTTTTGTCATGAAATGGTGCTGCTTACAAAAGCCAATGAGCTGGCAAGCTTTATGATATTTTTTATATCAATAAACATACGTTTTACAAGTATAGTAAGACATTATTTTCATATTCTTATGATTAAAGAAACAATTTTGCTGAAATAAATTGAAATAGATTTGAATATTTTTATCAAAATTATATGACCTGCATAATTATTACACTTAATTGTAAATGTGTACAATATAGTTTGAATTTGAAAATGCTGCTTTATCAGGCTTATCCTAATCCAGTTATTAGAGATAAGATATCCAAGATGGGAGTTATGTGAAACTGATGGGAGTGAGTTGGCACCATGCACTTACTGTAAACAAAGGCAATATTTTATTTCTTAATGTGCAAAAGCACATAATCTGAGTAGTCTACCTCCTAATCCTATTTCTATAAACTGTAAAAGCAAAGAGGCAAATACCTGCAGCATGGATATGCTTCACTCATTACTGTTCAGGCTAATAGTTCATCTCTTCCTTTTGCATAGTCTGAACACCAGCTGGGCTCTAAGAAGCCCAAGTGGCATCAAGTACAGAAGCCTCCCCAACCTGGGTTTGCAGAAATCTAGACAACTATATATCAAGAAAATGATACAGAAAAAAGCAAAATCTCTGGTGCTAACTTGTACTTATCTGGTTATCTGCTGTTGAAGTACTTCTTAACCTTGGCAACTTTAAGAGGTATGGACTTCAAGTCCCAGAATTCCCTACTAGCATCCCAGGGAATTCTTAAAGTTGCCAGGACTGAGAAACACTGTGCTACTGTATCAGTGGTACTGATGCAAAATGTGGTGTGGCAGTTTTATTCCCACTGTGAAAGACATTACAGTGAGGGGGGAAAGTATTTGATCTCCTGCTGGTTTTGTACATTGGCTCACAGACAAAGAAATGATCAGTCTATAATTTTAATGGTAGGTTTATTTTAACAGTGAGAGACAGAATAACAACAAAAACATTCCAGAAAAATGCATTTCAAAAAAGTTATAAATTGATTTTCATTTTAATGAGTGAAATGATAGATCCTCTATCAATCAGCAAGATTTCTTGCTCCCATGTGTTTTTTATATAGGTAACGAGCAGAGATTAGGAGCACTCTGTTAAATGGAGTGCTTTTAATCTCAGCTTGTTACCTGTATAAAAGACACCTGTCCACAGAAGCAATCAATCAATCAAATTCCAAACTCTCCACCATGGCCAAGACAAAAGAGCTGTCCAAGGATGTCAGGGACAAGATTGTAGACCTACACAAGGCTAGAATGGGCTACAAGACTATTGCCAAGCAGCTTGGTGAGAAGGTGACAGCAGTTGGTATAATTATTCGCAAATGGAAGAAACACAAAATAACTGTCAATCTCCCTCAGTCTGGAGCTGTATGCAAGATCTCACCTTGTGGAGTTTCGATGATCATGAAAACAGTGAGGCATCAACTCAACTCGCCGTATTTGGAGGAGGAGGAATGCTGCCTATGACCCCAAGAACACCATCCCCACCGTCAAACATGGAGGTGGAAACATTATGCTTTGGGTGTGTTTTTCTGCTAAGGGGACAGGATAAGTTCACCGCATCAAAGGGATGATGGACGTGGCCATATACCATCAAATCTTGGGTGAGAACCTCCTTCCCTCAGCCAGGGCATTGAAAATGGGTCGTGGATGGGTATTCCAGCCTGACAATGACCAAAACACATGGCCAAGGCCACAAAGGAGTGGTTCGAGAAGAAACACATTAAGATCCTGGAATGGCCTAGCCAGTCTCCAGACCTTAGCCCCATAGAAAATCTGTGGAGGGAGCTGAAGGTTCGAGCTGCCAAATGTCAGCCTTGAAACCTTAATGACTTGGAGAGAATCTGCAAAGAGGAGTGGGAGAAAATCCCTCCTGAGATGTGTGCAAACCTGGTGGCCAACTATAAGAAATGTCTGACTTCTGTGATTGCCAACAAGGGTTTTGCCACCAAGTACTAAGTCATGTTTTGCAAAAGGGTCAAATACTTATTTCACTCATTAAAATACAAATCAATTTATAACTTTTGAAAAGCATTTTTCTGGATTTTTTGTTGTTCTATCTCTCACTGTTAAAATTAATCTACCATTAAAATTATAGACTCATCATTTCTTTGTCAATGGGCAAACATACAAAATCAGCAGGGGATCAAATACTTTTTCCCTCACTGTAATTCTATAACTGTTAAGTTTGTTTGACGTAAACTTACAGCTGTAGGATTACTTCTGAGCACTGATGGCTATGAAAGTGCTATCTAACAACAACACAAACCTTGGACAGTATAAACCTGTCTGCCTGCTTCTTGAAATATGTTGCAGGGCACAGTACAAACTGCTGTTTTTGACCTTTAAAGCTTTTAAGGCCTCAGCTCAAGTCTCCATGATAGTCTCCCCACTTTAAGCTTTCCTGCTCAGTGCAATTATAATCTGAAACCTGGAAGAAAATATACATATTTTTTGAAATTAAACACGTGGCAGCCAAAGATTGGACCTTTTTCAGTGGCAATGCCTATTCTGAAAGCTCCTTCTGAAAATATTTGCATGCCAGGTTTAGTATGTTCCCTGCAGGTGTCCTCCCATGCTTAATAATCTAATCCATGGGTGTCAAACTTGCGACGTCACGCGACATATCGCAACTTTTTTCCCATTGCCAGCAATAGTGTGGGCGCGGTTTTGTTGTGATGCATCCAGCCCATGGACTGGCAGTTTGACACCATAGCTGATATTTCTGACTATTAGTAGTAGATCAATTATATATTGCTTAGCTGCTCTGAAGCTCTGTGCAAAAATAAAATGAAAAAATATTTGAAATATTTCCATTCATGTTTTTTTAAATAGAACCCTACTCCATGTAGTAATTGAGTTCATCAAAGAGAAAGCAAATATCCAGTTGATCCAGTTTATCAAAAGTAGTAAGAATGCCTTTAAAAAAATGTGAGCCATATACAAAGCAATACAAAAAGTAAAATATATGTAACGCTTGGGATAGCTCTCACATCACAGTTGCATGAAGAAAATAGCAAGTCAATACCACTCTTGCAAATACTATACAAACTATGGGTATCTTATCAGGCAAATCTACCATTGGAATCTTTCAGCTCTCTTTGTTAACAACGTTTTCAAGAAAAGTAGAGACAGGCCTATCTATTTGGTATATCAAAAACTAGAGTTTTAATTTTGGCAAAAAAAAGTACCAGAAAGCAACTATTCTCTCTTGTTATAAGGGCCATTAAACAGAAGACTTAAGATGTAACATGTCACCATCAAAAGAATGGTATGCAAATCTCTTCAAAGGGCTCCACCTACCAGAGTCTGCATGTCACCTCAAACACAGCATTTCCCAATTGAAGTCTGGGAGTCACATCCATAGCTAGGAACCATCAATTGAGAATCAACTAAGCCATGTACATTTGAATGTGAAGCTGTCTTTTCTCTTTCTAATAACTCATTTTTAGGAGAAAAAGTGAGCAAAGAGCAGACAGGAAGGCATGCCAGGAAAGAAAAAGCCCCAGGATTAGCCCTTAACTAAGTTCCATCCCTGTTTTTCCCTCTATCTCTGAATTACACTTCCATGTATGGTGTATGCCACTCAAAATAACTTCTTGAGAGGGGTAATGATAGAAATCATTTTTTTTAAATGTACGCATTCAAATTTGGCAAGGGTAGGGAATATGTTGCTTCCCATACATTGAGGAACTGCAACACCCAGCATTCCTTATTATTTGCCGTGTGAGCTGGTCTTCTGGGAGATGTAGTTAACAACACCTGAAAGGTCACAGGTTCTTTATCATTCATGTGAACTATGTATGCACAATGTACTGATACTTGACTAATTGAAATGTGTTTTGAGGTGCCCAAAGTTTTGACTTCACATGACAGATTTGATCATAAACCTTAAAGGCCTTGGTTTATTTAGCCAATGTATAAGGCTAAAATGTGGTTAACTTCTTCATGGTCCAATACTCAGTATGACTCTGGTAAGAGGTGGTCTGATTAAACCGCTATAATGATTCACATTTTAGGTTTACTTGTAGACAGTAGGAATTGCTGTTGAGCTACAGTTCCAAGCCCACATAGTGAGGTGGTATCTAGAGGATCACTGGTGCTTCATCTGCATTTACCATTCTAATCGACTTGCCTTTCCACAAGTAGATGCTTAAGCTTCTATATGTTTTTATTCAAAACTGCTGTTTTTCACCCAGCTCTGATTGCTGCATTACCCAACTCTTGGCAGTCCAAAAGTTACCTGATTACAAGTAATCCTCAACCTACAGCTGTAATGGAATCTTCCCATTATGATGATATGTTGTGATGGTCATAAATTATCCTGTGTTTGTGACTTTTTTGCGGCAGTCATAAAGTGAATGCCACAGTTGTTAAGATTGTACTATGTTTTTGTGGTGGGCATTAAGTAAATGCTGTTAAATGAATGCTGCAGTTATTAAGTGAACCAATGATTCACTATGGGTGTGGTTTTGCCAAAAACCAGAAATGTTGGTTTTCAGCAAAACTGTTGTAAAAACATGATCATGTGACCATGGGACACTGCAAACGGTCATAAATGCAGCTTTGTTTCCAAACTCCTGAAATCAACAGTCCTATGACTGTTGAG